CGTGTGTGTGTGTGTGTGTGTGTGTGTGTGAGTGAGTGTAATATATATAATATATATATATATATATAATATATATATATATATATATATATATATATAATATATATGTGTGTGTGTATGTATATAACATACATACATACATACTATATATATATATATTATATATATATATATTATATAATATATATATATATATATAATATATATATATATATATATATATATATATATATATATTAATATTATATCAATACACGTATTTACACATATACACAGATGTAGATGCAAATACCCTCACTTACCTTTCTTTCGCTCAAATGAGAAATGACTTTGTTCATGCGATCAACAGGTCAAAATATCCAAATGGAGCTACAAGCCTCCTGTACATAATGTCCCTTGAATAGACCTAGGAAGGGGGTCATCAACGGCAATAGGCCTAAAAGAGCCTATTTCTATCCCGGTTCAATACTTCTTTCGCTTGCTTGTCGTCGCTGCTCGAACTGGAGGAAATGGGGATGAGGGGAGGGAGAGGAGAGAGAGAGAGAGAGAGAGAGGAGAGAGAGAGAGAGAGAAGGGAGGGAGAAGAAAGAGAGAGAGGAGAGAGAGAGAGAGAGAGAGAGAGAGAGAGAGAGAGAGAGAGAGAGAGAGAGAGAGAGAGAGAGGAGAGAGAGAGAGAGAGGAGAGAGAGAGAGAGAGAGAAGAGAGAGGGAGGAGAGAGGAGAGAGAGATAAAAATGGAAAAATACAGATAGATGGAAAAATAAAGATGGAAAAATACAGATAGATGAATACATACACATACATACATCAATATGTATATAAATAGAAACATAGATAAATAGATAGATAGATGGTCAGACTGATAAATAGACGGATAGATAAGAAAAAAGACAGACATACAAGGAAACGAGCCAGAGAGAGAGAGAGAGAGAGAGAGAGAGAGAGAGAGAGAGAGAGAGAGAGAGAGAGAGAGAGAGAGAGAGAGAGAGAGAGGGGGGGGGGCAAACAAAGAGAGTCAGACAGGCAACAACGGAAACAGAGAGACTGAGAGACAGACAGAGAGAGAAAGAGAGAGAAAGAGTGTCGAGAGTGAGTGAGAGAGAATAGATAGATAGATAGATTAGAGAGAACACACAGACAGACAGACAGAGACAGACGACAGACAGACAGAGCAAGACACACAGACAGAAAGAAAAAGAATGAGAGGCTTAGACAGAGAGATAGAAATAAAAAATCGTATAAACAGACAGATAGACAGATAAACAGATAGATAGATAGATAGGGCGGGGGGCGGTGTAAATGTAGGAAGGAAGGAGAGGAATTACTACACTTCCTCTGTGTGTGGGGGGGAGGGGAGGGGGACTCCGACTGGCTCCAGGAGGACGTGTGGCACTGTGCCATCCAGACTAACGCGTGGGCGGATCATGAATATCTGGCACCCACCCACGCACATAAACACGCACACGCTAGCACAGACGCACACGTACATATTAGCACAAACACACACACACATACTCACACACGAATATGTATGTATATAAATACTGGAACGCTGTATACGTACATGTGTATACTCCCACACCATCACGCAGGTACACTGTCAATCGAGCTGGAACACCGACACGAAACACTTTGTGCAAAGAAATAGATAATACATATTGATAACAAAGCTAACACTCTTGATCCTGTAGATACTTGATCCAGGTTCTGTAACTGCCTATTTCAGGGTCATGTACAAGGGCTTACACATGGCACTCATGGACAGACCGACGGCCTTGAGGTTCATTCGCTTCGTGCCATCTATCTCGGAGCGCTCGACACCCACACACAGGCACCGTGCCAAATGTTTCCTTTTTTCCCCTCCAGCTTGCCTCAAGTGTGGCACCCACGCATGAAGATGTACACATAAGCAGACGCCTTTATACACACACACATATATGTATACACAAAAGTATTACACATATTCACATGCAATATACAATACACAGACATACAGGTATGTCACATATAATAACAAGGTTACATCACATTCTTTCATTTACTGTAAAATACCTGCTTTGTGAATAGAGATAATGTCAATACAAAACCAGATATAGGAAAACAGTAATAAACGACAAAAACACACAAATCTATCTGAACAAACGGCCATATTTGAGATTTATCTGCGCAGAAAAAAAGAAACAAACAAAATCCCTCGCCAAAGGGTCATGGAGGGATTTTCCATTAGTTGTTATCGTAAGATCTGGTGTGAGTGTGTGGTGTGTGAGAGAGAAGAGGGGAGAGCAGAGGAAGACAGAGAGAGAAAGAGAGAGAGAGAGAGAGAGAGAGAGAGAGAGAGAGAGAGAGAGAGAGAGAGAGAGAGAGAGAAAGAGAGAGAGATCTGCCGTAGTGGAAAGAATTAGAATGAAAGTAAATATTGAGAGATTAAGACAATGCAGATCTAAAAGGCAGTTTGACTGACAACCATGAAATATAAAAGTACAAAACCAGGGGAAAAAATG